AAACAGCTGCGCAATGCGGTAATGAATGCAGTTTACGGGGGGGAGGGGGGTGGGGGGGGTGTATGATAGCAAAGGGGGCACTGCTCAGGAGGAAGAGGGGCAGAAGACTTGATGCTTGCTAAGGGAAAAACAGCGTTTAGTGTCTCTTGTGAACTACTTTTCAGTCTAGCTTTGGCAAAGGATTCTGGGACAGAGCTTTAATTTACGATACCTTTTTCTTTCCTGCAGCTTACCGTCTACCTGGGGAAACGAGATTTTGTGGATCACCTCGATCGCGTGGAACCTGTCGGTGAGTGCTTGGTCTAATATAGCTCAGAAGTCGTATTTGGCAAACGATTGTTGTATTTTCCAACTGTTAGCCTATATTTTGAACCTACCCCAAGTCTTGTGTGCGCCTACCAGGTCCAAGCTGTGTCTATCGTTCGTCCCAACCATAGACCGGCATCCTTTAAAACCTTTCACTCCAACACTCAATTTTTTGTTTCTTTTTATGGAGATAAAAAGGTGCCTATCAGACCCCTAATATCACCTGTGCACTTTGTTGAAGCTGATGGAGCAGACTGTGCTTGATCAGCTTCTGCAGATTGACATACCTGAACCCGGAGGTGCACAGAGCTCATAACTTCCAGGTTCATACTGCCCGAGGAGATCAGCGAATGCATGTTTCTCTGCTGCCTCCCATCGTGACACCCGCCATGGTGGTCCCAGTCACCTAGGAGGGACAGGTGAAGCCGGGACACATGTCATTGGGTGTGGGGCATCTGTAGAAGTAATCACAAGGCTTTAAAGCCAATCAAACTACCTATACAAGAAAGTCAGTAAACACAATCTCAGCTGCTATAGCGGACTGTAGATCTGCATGCTAGTGCTGCCCCCAAAATAGCCATTAGGTTGGTAGCAGCGAAAGGGTTAAAGGTAATCTGCCCCTTCTAAAAATCAATAATATCTTTTTAATACCTAAACATTTAACTGGTGCTAAAATCAGACAAACTGGTAGCTGCTTCCATCAGTACTGCCTGAGCATCCAAGAGGAACAAGTACACAGGAAGTACTGTCCTGTGCTTGACAAGTCCCAGCATTCAATGCACCTGAGTGGGCGGGGCAAACGGAGGGGGAGCCAATTGGTTGGTGCCTGTGTATTAACATAACTCTGCTTGCTTATTGGATATTGCCAGGTTCACCCGGGTGTGTAATGCCAGGGATGGATGTATCACTCTTCCATTTGGTGCTGACAAGGTAAAATGGGGAACACGGGAATGCTGCTAGACCTCCTTCGCATGTACAAAAACTGGCCCTAAAAATCCCTTCTAGGGCCGCTATGTACAGTGTAGGTCTTTGTAGATCAAACTTTCACTGATCTGTTGCTTTTGTTTGACACACTATTGTGTGGCAGTAAGGAATTGGTACCATCGGCGGCTTTTTGTGCCTGGCCTAGTGTCCCTCCTTGGGCCTGCACCACCTTTTGCAAATACTCTTCGAAAATGAAATTCTTTATGTAGTGCAGAGCATCGCAGGAGGTGCCTGTGATTTGGCCTCAAGCTCTGTGCTGACTTCGGGCACTATGCTAGTAATTAGAATAGAGGGTTGAATGTAGGGATGCACCGATACCGGTATTTTGGTACCGATATAAAAAAATTTCGGTGCTCGCCGATACCAATTACAGAGTAACGGAAGTCCCATTCAGGAAGCCAGGTGGCGTGTAATGACTCGCCACCTGAATTCCAGATTAACAAGAAAAGTCTGTCCCCTCTTACCTTGGTATGTCCAGCCTGTCAACCCCCGGGGCCTCTCCTGCCAGAACTCGGCCTTCCTCCTGTACCCAGCCGGAGCCGCCTTGCCGGGCGCCATGTAATGACGCGGCGCCCTGCTTTCTGATTGGCTTGGAGGCCGACTCCATGCTCTCTCATCACAAGTGAAGAGAGAGCATGGAGCCGCTTCAGGCCAGCGTGTAATGACGCGCTGCCCGGCTACCTGATACAGGAAATATCAGCATTTGGACGAGTACTCTCCCAAATACTCGGTATCGGCACCGATCTCGATACTAGTATCGGTATTTGTGCATCCCTAGTTGAATGTTTTGGGAAATCAGTTTCTCTGCAAAGAAAAAGAGATTTTTATTTAGACTGACCCCGGAATGATTTCGGACATAGTGAAGTGCACGTGGCTTGCTGTCTTTTGAATTTGTGACCTATGCGGAATGCAGTGTTGAGTTTTTAGGAGAGTCTTATAAAATGGTGTGAGCTCCAACTGATCTCAGATGCCTGTGTATACTATAACCCCCAGAGTATTCATTATGGGTGGATGCTGACTGGCTAATTAAAGCTCCCGGGGTCTCCAGCGGCAAGGTCCCCCGACATTCTAAAGCTGTGCTCTTAGCATGTTTTCAGAGCGTTTGCCAATGACTAAAATGTAAGTCGCGCTTTTACCAAAACATAGACTTTTTCCGAAACGCAGCGCACTGCCCTCTAATACAACAGACTGATGGGAACGGCTTCGTACATTATGATCAGTTTTAATACACTTTTAGCACGCTGTGATCCTGCAGTGTAACTCTCATACAACACTAGGATGTAAAGCAGTGGTTCTCGACATGTATAACTTCGGGACCCACTTTTGTACTCGGTCATGAAGTCGCGACCCAAATCGCACTGCACTGGAACGCACGGCATGCAGTACCGCATGTTTTCCGGTGCAAGCGATCCAACTGTGGGTGGGAGGTGTGTTTTAGGGTTCTATTCAAATGAAATGCAATGCACCTCCTGCACCAAGACGAAGAGTAGTAGTTTGCTATTAAAACACTGACAGACACACACATCCCCAGACACAATCTGGGGGGTCAACACCGAATTCTGCAGGTAATGAAGAGCGTTGTCTCTACCTGGCTGTGGCGCAGGGTCGTGACTCCGAACCAGCTGAACCGAAATGCAAATGTTTTGGCAGGTAAAGTCGTCGTGTTTGCTTTGTCTGTATGTTCAGCTAATTGGCCGGAGTTGTGTTTTCATAGTGAAATGATTGGTGATTTTTATTTGTTGCTGGGTGGTGTTCTGTAGTTTATAGCAGCCGGCTAGTGAGGCAGATTTGTGTTTGCACATCGCTGCTAATTGCATGGAGATGGTAACAAAATGGTGGGGGAAAAAAAGGAACAGAAACTTGTCCGTGTCGTCCATGGCAAGGACACTGCTCTGCAAATTCACAGAGGTGATACCGTAGCAGTGCGCACCTTCTCGAAGTGGGAGGGTCTGCTACTATCATCTCATAGTCAGTCCAATCGTTGCAATGGGAAACTAAGCTTCTTGTACATACCTGGACACATGCAGGAATATGTCGTCATACAAATATCACACCAGCTTCTTAGCAAAGATGACGCCGTACACCTCAACATGCTTGTAGTTTGTCCTGAAAGTGATAGTAAACTCGGGAGTTAAATCTTCAAAAATACATTCAAGTCCCTTAGGCCCCAGTCACACTGAGCGACACTTACCTCGAGTGGATTTCCACGCGGTCGGGATAGCGCGACTGTTCAGGTGACGATCACGCGACCTTCACCGTCGAGGCTGCATGCAAAAATAGAAAAATAGTGCGACATCCGCGTGAAAAGGGTCCTGCACAAGCGACGAGCTACAGGCGACATGGAGCTGTAAAATAGAACAGCTCCATGGAAAATCATTGGACGAGCGACTTCTCGCTGCAAATATGCGTGATATCGTGGCAGAAATCGCGTGATTTAAACGCTCGGTGTGAATGGGCACTAAAAGGAGAAATATGGGGTAAGTGATTTTTCCCCATAGTTCTCCTAAGGGTCACGGGCGGACACAAACCAGCGTCCTGCCATCACCCAAAGCTCGGTATATTGCAAGCTACAGCTCCCGGTATACTGAGACCGCCGCAGCCGGGGGATCGGAGGGGGGGATCCCTGCAGGGAACCGTGAGTGACAGTCACGGCTCTCTGCAGTGACATGATTGAGAAGTGAGCGAGCGACGGTATGTGTTCGCTCACTTCCCGATCTACTGAGCCGACCTGTGACAGTCTCATTGTCACAGGTCGGCTAGAACTATGAGGTGAGTGATTTTCACTGACCTCATAGTTCTCCTTTTAACAACAAAGTATTTAATTTGTGTATCACTCGGCTGTAGATTCTCAAATCCTCTCTGAATTGGTGCCGACACTGTCCTTCCTTCTGGAGGGTGGCTACTTTTGTTCCCCATGTCATGATGTCATGCGCACTGCCTCCAGGATGCCGGCGCGCATGCGCAGAATGCGCTGGTGGCCAAATCCAAAATGGTATAAAAATATTTGTTTCGTTTGACGAAACGAATGAAAACCTTTTGTAGTTTCCGTTCATTTCATCTGAACCGCATTTTTAGTCTTTGCACATGTGTAGTAATGTGTGTGGGGGGTATTTTGGGGTTTTTATTTTTTAAACTTTGGGGGGGGGGGCTTTGGGGAAATATTGGGTCTACACAGACCCCTGATATTTCCCTTTTGAAATAGAAAAAGAGATTGAGGACACAGAGTGCCCGTACAGGTGGGGGAGAGCAGCAGGGATCCAAGGAGAAGCTGGAGCCTGTGTTGCTCCTCTTGTCCCTGCCAAGCCGCGGCTGTGTTGGCCACCTGTTGCCAATGGCGCCCTGTGCTCGCCATAGCAGCAGAGGCAAGGGGACGCAGCCAGGCCGGCCCTGGCTGCTCCCCCTCTCAGCTGTGCCTGAAGCAAGTGCCTCACTTGCCCCATGGTAGGTACAGCCCTGCCCCAACGTCATGCTGGCTTTATAATACACCTGGCAAATACTTTGCATGCCAAGATTAGTGTGGCTCCTGCTTGGATGCAATAGTGTCGTGCGGGAGGTGCGGATTGCAGCCGGAGACACCATCAGAGGGGGTGACACCATAATGGCTGACAGCCAATTTGGCGTCACTCCCCCCTTCTGAAAAGTCAAGCACTTGGTCATGGACCAAGAACCCAACAGCTGCACAAGAGAGGATGGGACCCGGCGACTTACCTTATCCTGCTGGATAAACGTCCCCTACTCTCTGCCAGCATCCATCACTAAGATGGCCACTGGCAGTAATGTGCATGTGACGTTATTACATGCGTGAGAAATGTCACGTTTAGGGTGACGACCCTGCTTGGGTGTAAGTGCTCCAGGTCTCGTAGACCCCAGTGCTATGGTCATATATCTACCTGCTCTTCCTGTTCAGAGGGGTTATAACCCAGGTATGTTTTGTTGTGGCCAAAGTTGAGGTTTTAAGTAGAGTTTCTCTATTTTGAAGGGTCAACTCCAGTAAAAAGGTAGGCCTTAGGTAGGTTAAATTTTAAATTGCTGCCTGTGCCCCCACTACTGATATTACCCTGACTTCCTGTTGCCAGTCACTGAGACGGGAAGCAAGGATAAGGGGCACAGAGTATATAGTGAGGAGCAAGAGGCTTTTAAATCTCCTCACTATATCCTGAAAATAGAATATAGTTTGTGACCTCCGAAGTTCTCGTGTTGCTTCTTCAAGCTCTATTTTTCCATATGGTTTTCTCCCGACTCGGAGTCCAGCAGTCTGAGTACATTCCAAGTTGTTTTATTATTGTGTAAATCCATGATTTCTTGTGTGCCCGCCTTACAATTTGTATTCCACAGCTCACCCCCACCTCCCCCTCCGGTCTTGTGTTGTAGATGGCGTCGTTCTGGTGGATGCAGATTATCTGAAAGATCGTAAAGGTAATTAGTTGTATTGGAATTCTATTTGTTTCCTTCTGTCCCTCCGTCATCAGTCCTGTTTTATCCGCTCTGCTTCCTGTTCTGTCGCCATATTTTTCTACATGTCATTAGAAGCCAACAAAGCCTATATGAGGGGCGCCTCCAGTGTAGGTGATACCATGGCACCATTAGGGAGTTAGGTTGTGTTCATTCCTCTTCATAAGTAGGTTGTGTTCCTGGTCACTCCGCGGGAGAAAGGGTCCTGCACAAGCGACAGGCGACATGGAGCTGTAGAATAGAACAGCTCAATTGAAAAATCATTGGTCGAGCGACTTCTCGCGATATCGCGTGGCAAATATGCGCTTATATTAAACGCTCAGTGTGAATGGGCACTTAATTGATTATTCCTACATACACTAATTCTTGTTATGCCCGCAGGCAGAATGAGAGAAAATCTAGCCATGCGTGCATGGCGGCCTTTACCTAAGCCATGTCTGAGCAAGTCTAAACCCCAGAATACAGTGCAATATAAGGCAACTTACCAGCCCTTAGATGGGGCGGCTTTTTTTTATTCTTTTACTACACCCCACCCCCGTGATCCTGCCAGTAACACTCCTACTGTCCTAAAGGATGACAACGCCCGCTCACTGTACTGCATTCATAGAGGATCAATGTTGTCGCCCTAGGACAGGAAGTGTGTTAAAGGAGAACTATGAGGTGAGTGCTTTTCACTCACCTCATAGTTCTAGCCGACCTGTGACAATGAGACTGTCACAGGTCGGCTCAGTAGATCGGGAGGTGAGCGAACATATACCGGCATTCGCTCACCTCTCGATCCTGTCACGGCTCTCTGCCGTGACAGGGGAGAGGCCAGATTCCCCTCTCCCCGCTCCTATCCTCCAGCGCTAACTGGCGGAACGGACGGGGGAGGGGGCGGGTACAGCTGGCTCTGCCTCTAGATAGGCAGAGCCAGCTGTCACTCACGCAGCTGGGCGGATCCCGTCATCTACGTCGGGATCCGCTCCGGCGTCTTAGTATACCGCGAGCTGTAGCTCGCAGTATACTGAGCTTAGGGTAACGGGAGGACGCTAGTTTGTGTCCTCCCGTTACCCTAAGGAGAACTATGGGGAAAAACACTGACCCCATAGTTCTCCTTTTAAAGAATGCCTCAGTATTGAGGCATACATTAATGAAATAAGCTTTTTGTAAAAGCTTCTTCCTTTCATTAATGAAAGAATGAAACCATTACATGCAAATACAGGACTGCAATTTGCAATCCTGTATTTGACAGCTGAAAATAGCAGAGAGGAAGTAGAGTGACTCACCTCTCTATTTGTTTTGACAGCTCGAGAGCCCGATGTTTAGATACATTTCACTCAAAAGATACAATGTATATCTTTTGAGTGAAATGATTCTCAGCAGTTACCAGTCATTAAAGGAGAACTATGAGGTGGGTGCTTTTCACTCACCTCATAGTTCTAGCCGACCTGTGACAATGAGACTGTCACAGGTCGGCTCAGTAGATTGGGAGGTGAGCGAACACATACCAGGTTCGCTCACCTCTCGATCCTGTCACGGCTCTCTGCCGT